TCGAATTCGGCTTTGCATATGGTTCAATTGGGTTGGAGCGGGCACCCTTTCAAACTTCGGGCCCCTTGGGAAAACCTAGCTCACTAGTTCAACCGGACTAAAGGCCACTTGGTTCTGAACTAGTGTGGCAAACAAATGTGGTTGCTTTTTGTTGGCCTATCCACGGAAGGGAGCCAAGGGACCGCAGAAGTCCTTTGGTTTCGGTCAGGGTTCCAACAGGCGGCCCCTTTGTTTGAGCCCTTTGTTTTTCCAGAAGAGCTGCAACCTTGTTTGACCTTAGAAACGCTTATATAGAAGCCGTTGCGGAGTTGTATCTCCCAAGGAACATGCTCCTAGCAATGCGAAATCCTCACCCGGGTCAAAGCTGTGGTGACATCTCAATATGTGTGAAGAGCCGCTTGCTCCAAGCCTGTCTTGAATCGGCACCCAATCAAACCTGTCGGCTTGTTTTGCTCGAGGTACGGGCTCATTGACAAGGTGCTGACCCCTGAGAAGTTGAAGGGGGCCGGTGACAAGGACGAGTTTCCCTGCGTCGAGTTGGACGGGTCTTTTGGGCCTTTTGGGTCCCGCTGCCTTTTGTCCTTTTCGGGAGAAGGCTCTAGTAAGGCTCATGATTGATTGAGAAGGTGGTGTACGCAACTAAGGCCAAGGAGGCAATGACGTGGTATCATGAGTTTGCATCATGGCTTCCTGATTGCCTATGGACAACCAAGCAAATGTTGCTCCAGTTGGTAGCTAGTATATCCCGAAAGTATTCATAAGGTTCTTCCATCCCTGCTGGATGTTGTCTCCCACCGCGGAAACTGGAGGTGCTAGGGTTGATTCAACCTTCTGCTCTTCAGACGGGAAGTCTGGCAACCTGTCGAGTCGCTCTCTGCGGATCCAACTCAGCGATCGCGCCCGCGGCTCGGCGCGGAGCCGTCAGCTGCAAGCGCTCGCCCGCGCTCACCTCGACGTAGCTCTGAACGCCTGGGTCGCGACGAGTTGATCGCCTCCACGAACGTGGCCGGTTTGCATCGCACCGGTTGCGTGTGTTGAGATCGACTTCCTTGACCTTACTAACTTTATCTCATAGCCGGCAGTCTTTGGGTTTATCTTTTGTTGTCAAAAGCTGGCTTCCTACGATTAGCTACTAACTATATATAGATATAGATATGCGGAAAGGTATATTTTAGAGTTTCCACTGGGTCGATCAGCAGTGTCCCCAAGCCAAGACGAGCCATGGGATGTGTTTCAGGTTTCAAGACGCCTCGCGAGGGCAGAAGGCCAGCGGTGTCTCCCAACGTGTAACTCGCGAGCGGAGCTTGTGGCAGGAGGTGCCTTCCTTTGTCTCCGCAATGGCCTCCTGAGCGGACGTGTCTCCGCGCGGGGAAGGGTTTTCTCCAAGGTGGAGTGGGGATGTGTCAAAAGGTGCCCCACGTTTGCAAGTTGCCCACCAAAAACATGGGGGTTGGGCTAATGTGATCAGACGTTCCTGTTGGGTTCTTGGATGTGGACACTGGACAGGGCCATTCGTCCTTTGTGGTTCAGGGTTCAACTGAGAAGCCTACTGAGAAGCTTCTCAAAGTCCACTGGCGCCCTTGTGCAGTCAACCGCGCAGCCGCGGGGTTGTAAGTTAGATATGCGGACAGAGACAAATTGGACCGGAGCGAGTGCCGGCATCAGAGGTGTCCATAGGTCAGTTTGATTGGACACGGATCGATCCCCTTGCTTTCTGTTGGGTTTATTTTTGTCCATTGCCATCGGTTTGTCCAGAAGGACACCTAGGCTTGCATATCACGAAAGCACATGTTTAGTGTTTACAGGCATCAACGAACGGCGAACGGCAAGAAACCGTTCTTGTTTTTTTTCACCCGGCAACAGCTTTGAGAGAGAGAGAGAGAGCTTGGTATGTGCAACCCCGGGTTGCTTGGCTTGACTCTTTGCGTGACGGATTGACCCCTTTCTTTTTGTGCCGCCTGAAGGGCCCTTCAGGCCCTTCAGGCTCTCGTGTTTGTGTGTGTGCGTTAATATTTGTACATGCGCAGTGTGTGTTCAGTCTCATGCTCAAGCTACGTGCACTCACTACACACCCCGCCTGACTTGTGGGAGATTTTTTTTGATCATTGAAGCATTGGGCTAGAGTAGCAGTAATAAGTTGCCTCCCAAAATGCCTACACGCCGTACACAGAATGAAGCGAATACATAGCTTGGTTGCTGTTGACCCCCCTGCAAAAAGTTTACCTTTTTGGCGGGGTTAGTGGAAAACCCCTTGATTTGACAAAAAGCTAAAGTCCGAAGATCCAACCCAATAGCAGTCTAGATAGCACAACGAACTCTTTTGCACCTCCTGATTGCCATCCGGCCATGACGCGTGCAGCTTCGCCATGGCTGGCGGGGATGTTGGCAGGATGTGCTTACGCTAGGATCCCTTGAGCAATGAAGGTGCTGAATGTCTTTGTTAGCCGGGAATAGTTGTAGGAACACATGAGCGACAAGCAAAACCCGGTACTCAAATGGTCTACCCAGAACCATGCAAATAATTTTGAAGGCGGCCGCAACTATGTCTGGCTGGGGACTGCCCCTTACTAACCTTCATCTACCCGGGTTTTGATTGTGGCTCACATTCATGGGATGTTCAAGAAAAATCCGGCGCAGGTGCGCGCAGGCAAGTTTTGCCTTACACAAACCTAAGAGTAGTACCGGAGAAAAGTCTGCGCAGGCGTTCCGCCTTGGCGCTAGCGTTGGCACCCTTTCATGGTTTTACACACCCTGGCTTTGCGTAGGCATGGCTGCCAGTGTATAGCACCGATACACCGGGGGGAAAAAAAGCCAACGCTACTCACATATGTGTCAAATAGGGTGACCCCAATATAGGCGGTTTTCCTTTTGGTTTCCCTTTGCAGCTCAAAAGTAAGGGACCTCACCAAGTGATTTTGGCTGACCCTTGTCTTTCTTTGGGTCGACCGGAGCCCAAGACGGCCGTCCACAAAGGCCCTGAGCCGAGCTCGGGAAGATCAGCGTTACATTGCCATTAGAACTATTTGGTTGGATCTTCGGACTTTGACTTTTTAGGAAACATTTGGCTTGTCCATTGCACCCGCAAAAAGTTGAACTTTTTGAAGAGGGGTCAACAGCAGCAACGAATTTGGCCTTTCGCCCTTGAATTTACCATGGAATCGATTCGGGTAGGCTCTCTTGACATGTTTCGATTGCGATACCAGAGGTGGACAACCCCGAAAAGTCACCCCCACCAAAAGTTGACCGCCCCGCCAATAGTGGACTCATTGGATGTCACCATCCCAGTGCGGCCGGGTAAAGCAACATGGGATCCCGGAATTTGAGGCTGCGTGATTTTTTACTCACTCCCTGAGTTTCTGGACTTTAGTCACGGTTTGGGCTTGGACCATTCCAATGTGGCGAGCAAACTGTTTGGACTTGTGCAGGTGAAAGTCCCGATTCGTTTGTAGTCAAGTTGGGAGGGACATGGGATTTCCCACCAAAGCTTCGGACAAGCCCAGAAGTTTTATGGTCCAAGGCCTTCATAACTAGGAGTGGAGGACCTGGCACCCAACCTGTTGGGTTCTTCAAGGGCTACACAGAAGCCATGTTTTTTCCCAACCACCTTCAGGAATCTCTTGCATCCCCCCAACCCCTCAAAAACACACGGCATGTTGTGAAGACAGGCACCAGCACCCGGTTTGGGGATGTGATTTTCCAGATCCAAGGGAACGCCGAAGCCCATGTGTTGCGGGTATTCGAACACAAAGTATGATGGGGGGCCCCCAACATGGATTTCGGATTTGGCTTCCCTTTGAGCCAACCTGAAAACACAGCCGTTGACAACCCAAGCGGCAAATCCGAATCCTGCCACCTTGAGAGTTGGTGCCTTTTCTTATCTTTTTGGGGGCGATCTATCGCCAGAGGGTTGCACTGATTGGAACCGATGCCTTTCCAAATCACACGAAGGTGGACTGAGCGATTTTCGCCAGCGCGGTTTTCACGGAAGGCCAGCGAGCCGACGGAAGGATGCCGCGGCGTCCCGAAGCTGAAGGCGGGGGTTTCCCGACGCTCGTGGAGGCTAAGGCGGGACGTGAAGCGCCGAATCGGAAGGCCTACCGGTTTTTGCAAAGGATTCATATGTTCTCACGCCGATGTGCGTGAGACGGCACGGAGCTTGATTTTGTGGCTCATAGCCGCTTCGTTTGCATCCCTCTAAGTGGTTTGAGGCCGACAACGGGTTGATTCGGCTCAAGATTTGCTTGAGGATCCTCAAGAGTGCAGAGACATGCAGAGACCATCGTGTGCATTGGCTGGTATTTACATGACTTATCGTGCATGTTGCTTTTGATCACAAAAACTATCCTGTTGGCTCGGCAAAACAAGGTCACTTTCCCAAGTCCAAAAGCGTCGGAAAGGCAAGGACGGTAAAGGCACTATTTGGCTCGACTTAGAGACGTTTTTTTTGGGGGACACTACTTGGAAACCCTTTTGGAGGGAGTCTCTTGCGGAACGTGTTGCACCAGAGTGACCACCTGGAACCGCTTTATGATGTTGCTGTTGGTTTCTCTGTAAAGAACTTCAAACAAATGGGTAGCCTCAAGAACAGACGAGCCACCCATAGTGGCACATAAGCGCGAGCCTTGACCCATTTCGGACTTCAAGCCAAAGGGGGCCCGAAGTCTAAGATGACAGCGAAAACATGCAGATTCAACAGATCCAAAAGTTCTTGTGATAGGTGTCCTTTTCGGTTGTGTCGGCCGTTTCATCATCTACCAGGAAGCCCATCTATTTTCCCAAGAGAAAACACCTATGGTTCTTGTCGAGTGAATCAAAACAGTTACCTTCTTGAGATTTGGACGGGGCCCACACCGACATGATTTGGTTTTGACAAAGTCCAGGGCCAAATAGAACAAGCTCATGGAATTCCCTGGCATTGCATTGGGGCATTGCAGATCATTGCTAAGGCCTGTGTCTTGCCTCGCACATGCCTTGGAATTAGCTGGCTTGCTGCTTCCGCCAGCTTCTCTCGAGGAACCCCATTAGAGAGGAGTGTTCAATCAGTGTCCATAGTGTTTCCATATCTAGTTGAGCTGATGTTTTGGCGACTGTTGATCACACTGGTGCTGGCGTCAGCGGAATGCCGGACTTATGAAGAGTCCTGCTACGGAGGTGTGGCTTTGCTTCAATCCTCCGCGAAGGAAGTTCGTTCATCAGGGCAGGCACTGAAGAAAAACCAAGCGCCGTGGTCTGACTTTGGTGGCCTGATTCGATGGACGGATGTGGATAATTTGGTGCAACGTATCGATCCAGCTCCGGCGACAACAACTTCAAGCAGTTTGTTGGTTCGGGTCCTGGTGAGTACAGCCGTGCTTGTGGTCTCAGCCAGTCTTTTTGCTGCATTTTGCAGAGGGATGTTACGACTATAAAACTTTTTGCCAGCCAAAGGGTTTTCCGAACTAAACTACTAAAAAATGACAGGGGAGCGGAAAGCAACCGAGGTCTGCTGGCCCCGTTTCTTTTCCTCCTGTTGGCTGCAGGAGGAACCATAGCGCAGGCGCTTGGGTGGCCGCTATCAAGCGGGAAATCCAATGTTGCCAGTGCCGCGAAGGCAGGACTGGCAAACTTCCACACATTCTAGGCGTACCTTCCCCATTCTTTTCAGGGATCCTCCGGACACCCAGGGAATGACCTTTTGACCTTTTGATTTCCCGTGGTTGGTCCGTCGTGGCCCAAAAGGTTGAGCTTTATTTCTGGGTCCTTTGGGCGACTCATGGTATTGAGCAGCTAGTAAGACTCCTTTATGTATGTTGGAATTGTCGGGTTATAGGCTGCCTGCAGGTGCCAGATTCTACCGCCACCGTTGGGCTACTTCCTCCTCGAGCAAAAGTCTCATGGCCGTGGCTAGTGACTTCCATATGCCTGGTGGACGTTCTATTGAATGTTGTGTTCATTCTCTTGCTTCTTCGCCGGCAGGAGGGGGTCCTGGAGTCTCCACACGCGCTCTTGAGCCTCGTGATGGAGACTCTTGTGGGTTCGATGTTTTTCTTGCTATTTGCTCGCTGGGATGATCAGCGGCATATCATCACCGCATGGCAAGTTCTGCAGTCCATTCGCTTCTTTCTCATTCGCCGCACCATCTATCTCAACCCTGGCGTATTCATTGTTTCCATGCTTTTGCTGCTGCTGGTCCGAGCCTGAGTCGTTGAACCAATATGCTCAGAATTCTGAAGATGGCAGGTTTTATTGGAAGTGCACGAAGGGTTGAAACCACTTGCAGACTTTCTGAAGGCACAGCTTTGATTGAAATGCTGAAGGTGTTGGACCAAGCAAAGGGACCCTGTTTAAACCTCCGTAATTGGAGAAATGCCTCAAGTCCATGTGTAAACCCTCGGAACACACGTTGCTTAACCATTCGAAGTCCAAGTTGCCAGTAAATTCGTTTAGGAGGAGTCGTTAGCATGTGAGTTTATTGCATCTAAGGCCGCCGAGGCGTTTCTTTCGGCCTGTCGTGTGGCGTTTGTTTAAACCTTTTTCCCCGCCATCCCACGTGAACCAAGCTTCACAACACCTACAATGATTCCAGCCAAGCCTTTTGGTTTTCGTAAGATGAGACATGAGCAGGCGGACAATGTATGCAATCGCTGTTCCAAACGCATGTGAGGGCTTCCAGGGTCTTGGGACAGTCGTGCAACCCACGCCAAAGAGTTGTCGGAAGGCGATTTGAATCCATACATAAGCACAGCTAAGCTAAAGGTTCGAAGCTTCGCACAAAAGCTGCCAATAGCCAAAACAGGTCGAAGTACAGCAAATCCCAGCAACAGCTGCAAGGACTGCCACGCAGCCGCGTAAATACTAGAGGCAAGGCTCTGTCGAAACATTGCAACCAAGCAGCGACATAAGACGAGCTGCGTACACCGATGAACCGAATGCATTGTTGGCCACGAGTGCAGCGTGCTTTTGTGTCAGGTCTCGTCGGTGGGAGTGGTGGCTGAGCTTTTTGTTGACAACGAGGTGCGCGTGCCGCCCTATGAGCCCAAGAAGATGGATTTTGATCGGCCAGCATTTGGCTGGCTAGGACCGTATGCTGATTGGGTACAGTCCAAATATCTTCGCTGGCTGATTACGGCCTTTTTCTGCGTCGCAGATCAGATGGTGTGGGCTTGTTTTTTGTACATGTGCACCAGTCGGCCAGAGGAGGACATGGAGCAGGTCAGCGACGACACATTCAAACAACTGGTTCGAGCGGCAATGCTTTTGCAGATGGTGGCGCTCTTCCCGTTCTGCTTTACGCATTTGCACGCTACGTATGTGCTAGTGAAACAGTGGTGTGACCAAGAGACTCTTCTGAGGGCTTACAGGACGGGTCCATATGATGTACCAATGTTGGAGGATGAATTGACACGAGAGTCTGTTCTCAAAACGCGACTTCAGACGCACAAGTGCCGTTCCATCACAGTGGTTGTTCCTGCATACATGCCGAATGAGGAAGACATTGTTTTGGAGTGCTTGGATGCATATCGCAGAGAAGAGGCCAAATATCCGGGAATCATGCGTGTGATGCTCGTTTGGAACTCCCCCCAAGAGCATACATGGATTGAGCAGCAACTGGAGGAATTGCAGGAGTCGTGGCCGGCATTTTCGGTGCACCGAAATCACATGTCAACATCAAAATGTGACAACCTGAATATGGCAATCAGCCTGCTGGAGACAGACTTTGCTCTCTTCAATGATGTCGACACCATGGTTTCCGCCGCAAGTATGTGCCGCGCTTCTCTACATTTGTTCGAAGAGAACCATAGCGCTGTGCAGTCATATCTTGCACCTGCTCTATAGCATCAAGCGCTTGACTTTGTCTTGGCTTTAGTTTAAGTTGAAACTCACAAGGGGCACCCCAACCCCGAAGGTAAAGCTTTGGGGGGCGGGGGAAGCTGCAGGTGCACTGCTGGGAAGATTTCTCTGGCATTCAAGAAGCTGGTTGCTTTCCCTTTGGGGCAGTGGTCACTGGTCACGATGGTGTACTCCCCTCGCTAAACGAGTCCGTCTACGGGCATATGCAGCTTCCTTTCTGCAATGGTCGAGGATCGTTTTGGCGAAGCGATGCCATCAAGATGATTGGCTTTGACCATCGCACCATTGCGGAAGATCATGATGCTATGTTCCGCGCGAAGGCCTACTATGGCTTTACAGGTGGGGGTTCTTCGAGCGCCCTAAGACTGCTTAGTTCCCTTTTGTTTCCCTTTAAAAGTCAACAAGGAGCTCCACCGTTTTGAGACTCACCCAGGTGTCTCCGACATCAACATCCTTTGCCAGGAACGTGAACCGCCGGACTTTGGTAATGTGATCAGCCAGAGGACTCGCTGGATGAATGGGCAAATGCAAAAGCTAAGAGCACTTTCTTGGGCGGTCCGCTCCCAGCACATGTCGCCCTTTCTCAAGATTTACCTCGTTTACATGGAATGGATTTCAAGACCCTTCCAAGGGTTCCCTTTCATCCTTGCCCAGTGGGCCGGCATTTGGGTGATGAAGGCTCGCGCCACGGAGGTCAATCCGTTGATTGCGGTCAACATCTTCGAGGTGGAAGTGAAGTGGCCCGTCTTTGCCCTTGTGATTTATGTGATTCCGCTGGCCTCTCGATACGCGGCTTCCCTTCTGGCCTCCCGCTATCGTCCACGGTGGCTCGGCTGGATCATGAGTAGTCTCCTGGTGCCCCTGATTTACAATCCGGTGAGGGAAACCTTGGTCCGGTTCCGCATGCTGCATGACTTTCTTTGGAGCAGCAAGTTGGAGTTTGTGTGCACCACACGCGACAAGACCCCCTCCCACTCTCCCAGCATGTCGCCCAGCAGCTCCTTTTTCCGCGGCCCCAGCAGTGCCAAATTGGGCGAACAGAGTGACTAGCGAGCCCAATTTTGTGGATGGCATTGACTGGACGTGGCCAAAACGCCACAAGCGAGAAAACTGGCCTGCTGCTTCTGCTGTACAGCGATGATCATGTGGCAGTGGGTCAAAAATATGTAACCAAAATGGGAACCCTGGTAAATGGAGACATGGATCAAACCTGTGGTCCCATGGTGGTTTAATTTTGACCAGCCATGTCAAGCCAGAACTTGCCTCAATTGCAGATGCGTTTCTGCGCCAGGCGTCACGCAATCGATGCCACTGAGGGATGGGAGGCGGGAGGATCGACTGCTTGATGAAACGTGGGTAACCTACACAGCATTCCATACATAATTCCACACACATTTCAACATCGTGCAACAGAGCCGGCGCAAATCCCCAAAGAGCTGTCGCACTGCTGGACTTCATGGAGTTGATCCAATAAAGTATTAAATAATACTATAATGTAATAAGAACTTATGATTAAGGAAAAAATATTAAATTTTACAGGGAGTGATTTATATTTAATAGTTTACAAAGATTTTTGTTGTTGTGTTGTTTGTTTATTTAGCTTTATTATGATTGTTATTTGTTGATGTTTTTGTTGTAATTAATAAAAATATAGTTTAAATAAATAAATATTTTATGTTTTAACAAAACATATTGATTTCAATTTTTTTTTTTTTTTTGTTTTTTTTTTTTTTTTTTAAAAAAAAAATTTTTATTTTTTTTTTTTTTTTTTATTTTTTATTTTTATTTTGTTTTATTTTATTTTTTTTTATTATATTTATTTTTTTTATTTTGTTTTTTTGTTTTTTTTATTTTTTAAAAAAAAATATTTTATTTTTTTTTTTTTTTTTTTTTATTTTTTTAAATTTTTTTTTTTTTTTTTTTTTTTTTTTTTTTTTTTTTTTTGTTTTTTTTTTTTTTTTTTTTTTTTTTTTTTTTTTTTTTTTTTTTTTTTTTATATTTTAAATTTTTTGTTTTTTTTTTTTTTTTTGTTTTTTTAACAAATATTATATGTTAGTGATTTATAAATAATGAGTTAGATATAAAACAAGAAAAAGAAGAGGAATATGAAAATATAATTATGTTATTTTTGTTTTTGATCTTATATTTATAAAGTAATAGTTACTAAAAAGATAAAGTCGTTTTTAAATTGGTTTGGGTTATATTAGCTTTTTTTTTTTTTTTTTTTTTTGGTTATATTTCTTATTATTTTGTTTATATACCATTCATAATCAGGAAAAGTCGTGCTGTAGTAGTGGTCGCGAAGCATTGATGGATTGCGCTGTTTTTATATAGTGTTTCTGTTGAGCTGCACAGGAGCGATTTGCATTTGTTTTACTTTTGTTTATTTTTTCTGTTTTTCTTTTTTTATGTGGGTTCGAGGGTTTTTTTAGATTTTGGTTTGAATTTTGTCTATGAATAATTTGGTTAAATTTTACTAAATATTGGGTACGATACGGTTTTTTAAACTCTAGATGTTTTTTCTTAGTTTTTGTTTTTTCTTCGATTTTATTGTTTTGTGTTAATATCTGCCTTTCTATAGTTAGTGATTTTTTCAGAAATTATCGGGGAAATATTGGGGATTTATTTAAAAATAGAATATTGGGCGAAACAAAAAATTTTTATTTTTTTCTTTTAACCCTTTTTTTTTTTTTTTTTTTTTTTTGTTTTTTTTTTTTTGTTTTTTTTTTTTTGTTTTTTTTTTTTTTTTTTTTTTTTTTTTTTTTTTTTTTTTTTTTTTTTTTTTTTTTTTTTTTTTTTTATTTTTTTTTGTTTTTTTTTTTTTTTTTTTTTTTTTTTTTTTTTTTTTTTTTTTTTTTTTTTTTTTTTGTTTTTCTTCTTTTCTTTTTCTTTGTTTTTTTTTTTTTTCTCTTTGTTTGTTATTTGTTTCTTTGTTATATTTCTGTGTTTCTTTTATATTTCTTCCTGTTTTTTATGTTTGTTTGGTTTGTTTAGGTGTGTATGTGTTTTTGTCTTTTTTGTTGTGTTCTGTTTTGTAATTTTATTTAGTTTGTTGATATTTTTTTGTTTTTTGGTTTGTTGTGTTTTTCGTTTTTATGTTTTTTTTTTTAGATCTTTTGCTTCGGATTATGTTTGTGTTTGTTTATGTATATGTTTTTTTTTGTTTTTATGTTGTTAATTATATATATTTTTAAGTTTGTTTTTTGTTATTATTATTTTGTGTTTATTTGTTTATGTTGTTTTTTATGTATAATTTTGTGGAAGAGGTGGTTTGTTTTGTGTTTGTATTTTTGTTTTTGTAAGGGTTTTGTTTTGATTTGTTTTGGTTTTTTTGTTTGATTGGATTTTTGGATTTTGGATTTTATTTTTGTTTTTTTTTTTTTTTTTGTTTTTTTTATTTTTTTTTCTTTTTTTTTTATTTATTTTTTTTTTTTGTTTTTTTTCTATTGTTTTGTTTTTTTATTATTTTTTTTATATTATAGAATTAGTATTGTTGTATATGTTTTTTTAGTGTTTTTATTGTTGAATAATATGGATATTAATTAATTTGAAAGGTCGGAATAGGAATTTGGAAGCTTATATATCGTAGATCTCCGTTCTAAATGTTTATTCTAGATTTTTTATATATATTTTTGTTTCTAGATTATTATTTTAAATTTTGTTATTGATATATATTTATTTTTAGATATTGATTTAGATATATTGTTCTTTGTTGGGTGTCTAGGTGTATGGCCTTTTAAGGCTGAATATGGCATGAAACGAAAGAAAGAAGGAATGAGGTGTCAAGAAAAAAGGAGAAAGAAATAAAGAAAGGAAATATCGGGTGTTAGTGGAGAAATTTGGTTCGGTTCGATATGGTATAATGTCGTCGTTTTCGATATGATTTGGTAATGGTTTAATATTATTTCGTAGTAAATAATTATAATTATATATGGTTTGCTAGCTTTTTAGCATTCTAAATGCAAGTCAGACTTGGTTTCGTTGATTTTTTTTCATTATTTCTGTTTTAGATATGTCTATAAAGGGCAATTTGCCACTTTTTTCAGTCCATTATTTTATATTATATGCTATATAAATAGTGAGCGGTAGTTTTTTTTTTTGCTTTTTATTTTTTTTTTTTTTATTTTTTTTTTTTACGTTTTATATGGCTCCGGCACGCCCCCTCTTCCAACTCCCAAAACCAACCCTTGCCCCATGTACAAACAAGAAACTTCTAATCTCACTCTTTCTGTAAGGAACGGATATGTGTTAGGGTTTTTTATGTGTTCTTTATTTTGGAAATTTTTTTTTTGTTTTTTTTTTTTTATGTTTTATTGTTTCGTTTTGTTTGTAGCATTTTTTGGAAATTTAGTTTTGTTTTTGGGAAGGTTTTTTTTTGTTATTTATGTTTTTTATTGTTTTTTTTGTTGGGATTTTTTTTCTTATGTTTGTTTGGGGGGCTTTGGAAACAAAGATATCTTTAAAGGATACCCTGCATCAGCTTACGTATCGGGGGATATCGGCTTACACTTGTGTATCGGCTGGCGGGAGTGATTATATCGGTGTCCTAATAATGTATGGATGGCAACGATGGCGGCGCTCGTCCCCAGATTCGTGGTATCCAGCCATCCATAAGGGTGGGTTGGTGGTTGTTGTGGGGGGGGAGAAGGGGGGGGGGTGGGGGACGGGTTTGGGTGGGCGGGGGGGGCGGGGAAGGTGGGGGGGGGAGGGAGGGGGGTGGGGGGGTGGATGGTGGGGGGGGGTTGGGGGGGGAGGGGTGGGGGGGGGTGGGGGGTGTGGGGGGGTGGCGGGGGGTGGGCACCTTGGCTGAATGCGCCTAATGGCGTGGGGTTGGTGCTAGCAGGGGTGGGCTTGGTGTGGGGTCGTGGGGCGTGCGACGCGTGATCACTATGAGAGTAGTGTTTTTCATTCGTCGGGGCTTCTTCTCCATCATTTTTTTTTTTTATCTTCTTTTTCTTGTTTTTTTTTCTTTTTCTTTTTTTCTTTTTTTTTTTTTTTTTCTTCATTCCATTCCATTGTTTTTTTTCTTTTATCCTTTTTTTTTTTTTCCCATTTTTTTTTTTTCTTTTTTTTTTTTTTTTTTTCCCCATGTTTATTTATTTTTCATCAACACCACCATCTTTTTTTTTTTTTTTTTTTTTTTCATTTTTCATTTTTTTCATCATGTTGTTCCTAAGACTGTAAGAGTTTTCTCCATTTAGATTATTTTGTTCAATTCCGTCCTTTCTTTTTTTTGCCCATTTTCCATTATTTTTGTTCCCTTTCTATTTTATTTTAATAATAAATAAATATGTATTTGAGAATTCCATATATATCTCCCAGAAACCCGGAATAAGGGATTTTATTATCGTGCAACGTTCCACACCAGAACCACACCGAATATTACCCACACCCACATAATTATAATAATTATAAATTATTTATCTAATTTATTTCTCTTTTTTAGCAGATTTTTAGATAAGTAAATTATAAACGATAAAGGTATGTTATGGAATATTTTAATTTGTATTAAAGTAGAATATCAATAAGTTTTTCTTAATCTATTGAGTTTTTAGAATGATAGGATTATTAATATAATTTTTTAATATAATTAATAATTGTTAAATTTCTCCTCCCCCCTTTTATTCGCTACTAATTTCAGATTCGTTCCCCCTATCCCCCACCCCCCCACACCCTACCTATAATATAATTTTTAGTAAAGTGAGTAGGCTTTTGGTGAAATTGTTTTATTTGAGATTTTCTAGGCTCCTTCTCACCTTAGTATTATATACTTGATGAAACCCTCAACAACAACACAACATTAATATAACAATAATAATAAAGTACTTTTTCTGTAATTTTCATATATTAAATTCAACATTCCTATGATTTTAATTCCAATAATTTATTCGAAAATCCACAATATAAAACTTATATAATTTAATATATAGAAAATATAAAATATAAATAATCTCCATAATACATATATTTTAAATCATTAATTATTTATTTAAATACACCCCCTCCCTTTCCTGTATTGTTTTTTTCCTCTCTTTATCTCTAATTAATTTAATTCCTATAAAAAATCAATAAACAACAAATCAAATAATTATATATATATATATCTATTTAAAAAAAATCTCCCTTCCCAATTCAATCAAACCCACAT